TAGCCCCATAGAGGCCTCCTGTCTTCAGCCTCAGATTTTTCATCTTCTTGGACTCTCCTTCCCCTTTTTTAGAAATGTTTTTAAATTGATGTTTTATGTATTTATTTATATTTATCTTTTTAATGTTCTGTGTGAGTCGCCCAGAGTTCCCCCATTGAGGGGCGGGGGAGAAATTTGATTGATTGATAGATAGAGAGATCGATCGATCGATCGATCTGGGTGGCTTGCAAGGCCCCTGGGATGAAGGGAAAACACCAGCCTCCTTGTGAGTAAGCCACACCTGGTGATTGTAAGTGCCTGCAGGCTCAGGACTGGCTAAACTTAAAGACTGCTCTGCCAAAAGGGCAGGTGGGGGAAGGAGGTAGCGGAAGAGGACAGAGTCCCCCAAATTTATTCTTCTATGAATGTCTCCCCAAAGCAGAACCAGGGACAGTGCCCCATCCTGGTCAACTGCAAACCATGTCTACAGCAGAGGCCTGCATGCGGGGGGGTGGGGGAGGTCAGTGATGACACATGCATAACAATGTCACCTTGCAAATGTCCCGACTTCTGTACCTGTATCAGACGTCAGGATGCACATAGGTAATGGTGGTATCTGCATAATGATGCCATTGTACACACATGGTCCTCGTGGCTTGCAGCCATGAATGCCACTTGCCTACCGTCTTCAAAACAGCCAGGGGTAGAATTGGATTGCCTCCGTGTTTCTCCTTGGTTGGCCAGGAGAACTGCTATTATTTAGGCTTGGGTCTTCCCGCTGCTCACCCTTCTGCCTTAATTAGCTGGGGCTTTTGGGCTGCGTCCACAATGACTTTCCAGTGAACAGAAGACTTCCTTTAAGTTGTGACTTGTTCATTCTCGGCTGCCTTGCATCCACCCCTAGATAATTTGTTGGGATAACAACCAGGGAGAGAAAAGGGAAATGTCTGGATTTATAACCCACTCCGAGATACCAGTAGTAAACAAGGGAGGCACTTTGTTTTATTAAAAGGGAGAGCGTTTGAAAGGCAGCGTGTGTGTCTTCTTCCTCCTTCCAACAGCGCCCTCGTAAATCAGCCCGCGTGGCCAGAGAGTGCTTTGGCTGACAAAAGGAAAATTGAGTCCCTGGGCCCTGACCAGCTTGCAGCTCAGAGGGTTTGGAATGATTGCCCCTTAAATCGTGCCTTCTCAATCAGAGAGACAGAGGAGGGATGGAAGTTAGCCCAGAAAAGCAGAATGTGGGTTTTACCCAGGAAAAGTGCCATTTCTGGGGTGCCCCCTGCCCTCCTTTAAAAAGACAGCCTTCGTTTTAGGAATGGCAAAAGGACAGCAGATGCCCAAAAGGAATCGGGCCCAAGTTGGTCTGTGAAAAATAAACAGCCCAAAGCCATCGAGATAATATTCCAATAGAAAAGCAATAAACACAATTTCATGGGGCCGTTTTAGGATGTCATCTCAGTCTCAGAAGAGGGCAAGGCTAGTTAATGCACACCCCAATGGTATGAGATACTTACTGGGAGGGGGAATTATTTGAGCATCCAACAAGACCATGATCTGTTTAAAGCTAAGTCCAACCCCTACAGAACCCCAGTATGTTAATCCTCCCCATAAAGACCCATTCAAGTGTGTCATCCACTCTGGGCTGTTTTCTAGCCCTGACTGCACTCACCAAATACGTTTAAGTTAGTTACCGCATTCTCATTTTCTGGCCTCACATATACGTTGGAGCATAAACTAACCAGCAGGCTTGGTAAAAACTAATCAAGCTTTGCATGTGGTCTCCATGCAGTTGTTTAACAGACCTGATTAAGCATGTCATACGAACCCAGGCACTGTTGAGCTCACATATTGGACTAAGCCGTGATTTATCGAACTAACAGAAGCTATTGTTGCGTTTGCCCAGTCAGGACGGCCATGGCTAAGGGCTCTGGGAGTTGAAGTCCAGCACATTTGGAAAACACCTGTCTGGAGAAGGCTTTTCTCGAGGAGCTGAGTTTTCCCTGGATCCGCTGTACCCTGAGCAGATTTAACAACTCTCTTTTTATCGCTTTGCAGGGCAACAGTTGCCCAAGATACCAGACAGGGCATCACTTGGAGAAGGACCTGTTCATCAGCCCATGGATCAGTATTCTGAAGGAAGCCACGAATCAGGAATTGAGAACATCGTGGTGGAACACAACCCTGATCTGTCATTTCTGAGCCAGAATGAGCTATTCCCCAGGGAAAATGAGGACGCTATCATGTCAGGAGATTCCAAAGAATTGCCTAAGGATCTGTATGGCCCCTTACACAAAGTTGCAGTGCCGTTACTGGAAGAGGATGAGCAGCTCCAGATGGTAACAACTTTTCCGGTTGAAATGGAAAGTGCGGAAGAGAGGTCCATGGTACCCAATATCCCTGTTCTAAATGGGGAAGTTAGAGGGGCTTCCCCGGAACCATTGGTAGATGGTCTCCATAATACATCAAATGACAAACTCTTCACCGTAGTTGATGATGTTGATAGGATGAACGTCACTGAAGAGTCACTGAGCGCAGTCTCAGTGTTGGGCAAGATGTCTTTGGGGGGAGACCCTGAAGATGACATCCCACCAGAAGTGATCCCTCATCCAATCACCCCAACCTGGCTGCAGGAAAATACGGAGAGGCTAATCCCACAGGATACTGCTTCTCCTGGCCCCTCTCAGCCATCCCAAGCTCACATCCTAAAGGGGGCTCCCACCATTCCCTTTACAATTCCTTCCCCCACTTCTCCGAAAGATCACCCCACGGCTGCTGGGGCAACACCAGCTTTGGCTGGCATCCCTGAATCGAATGGGAAGAGCATCAACACTGGACTGAATGGGCGTTATTTCCAGGAACAGGGGAAAGACGACCTGGGCATTGATGGGAACCCAGAAGGAAGCACCCTGTTACCCACTACATTGCCAGTCTTGGCCTTGGCAGGGCATGACATGGTAGACAATGCCATCGAGACTTCGGCTGGCATGAACCCAAGCCCTGCCTCCACACTTGGCGGAGAGATAAGCTACTCGCTGTCCAATGAAGTTGACGGAAACCGTAAGTTGACTGGGAATTTAGTTTTTACAAAAACTTCCTTTCAGTAAGCGTGGGGACCCTGCAGGTTGTGGGAGCTTAGGGCAGAGGGATCTTTTCTAACAGCAGTGTCGGGCTGAGCCCCCATTTTCATATCCCACACTGCTGTGCAATGATACCAAATCAGGGTCATGGCAGGAAAATATTAGAGTAGCTAGACCCAGTACAGCAGTGTTTCTCAAGCTTGGGAACTTTAAGATGCGTGGACTTCAACTCCCAGAATTCCCTAGCCAGCCATGCTGGCTGGGGAATTCTGGGCGTTGAAGTC